TATGCCAGCAAAAAGCCCTTCCATGAAGACACAGTGAAGCTCAACGTACATTGCAAACCAGCTACAAGTGGAATCAGCTCATTGTTGCCTTGCAGTACCATCAGCCCCTACACATCTTGTCTCCTTCCCCGTGGGTGTCGGAGAGCCTCCAGCATTGCAGCCCCCAAAACCACGGGGGGAGGGGGGAGGGAGGCAGGTTTCGTGTTGCTTTGGGGATGCTTCGGAAACACCGTGGGTGCACTGGGCAGCTTGTGCCTGTTCAGGCCACCGGCGCCCGGGGTGAGATCCAGGATGTGCCAGAGGCCGAAGCCGAAGCCCTCCCGAGCCTCCGTGTCTCCATTTGTTTTCTTTTATAGGCTGGCTGATTCACCAGGAAAAGAGCGGGAGTCCACCTGAAAACATGGCACTGTGCAATGCATCAGGGATATCCTGCTTGCACAATGGTAGTTGGGCAAGGAGATGGCCCGTTTTCCGGGCTGCCTGATGAAACAAAGGGCTGCAAAAGAGTATTTCAGTCTGAGCCATGCCCATGCTGTATGTTTGGAATACTGACAGTAACTTCTCGTGACTTCTCGGCATTTTTTGTGTGGGATTCGCATGAGATGCGACTGCACGAAGCCTAGGATCAATGCATGGAATCCTCCGGGTATAGTTTGCCCATGCACATACTAATATGTATTCTGTTTTTGTATATATATATATATATACAATACATATATTATACATTTAGACTGAGTCTGTGGTTGCCATTGCACGTACACGCACTTAGCTTTGACCTATGCTGGGTGATTCGACTCCCGACCTTGACTCGCACTCCGGATTTGCCTCTGGGCCAGAGCCATCTCCCTGACAATCAGCTTGTGATCACGATCTAAATGAATCCAATGAATCCAATTTTGGACTACCCTCCATTTTGGACTTCCAATGGGTTCCAACTAAATCCAATGAATCCCTGGGTGCCGTTTTTGGGTTCCTGGGGACACGGGATCTGATCGACCAAATCGCCAGGTGCCCTTGGCCTCGGAGTCCACTTTGGGCGCTTTGGACCTGCAAACCGCGCAAAACCCGCGGGGCCCCAAGCCGGCGCTCGGGCGAGCCGCACCGCGCCAAGGTTTTTCTATTCGGTTTCGGTCAGATCTGCGCGCATGGCGTGCGACGGTGTGTGTCCACTTGTGGTCCTTCAAACACGTTTCCATCCCTGCGGGGTCTCCCCGTTCTAAAGGCGGGATGTTGCTTCGCAGCAGGCGCACCTGTGGCTTTGCGAAAGCTGGTTCACATAGATCATAGAATATGGCTTAAATAGACAGAGTACTGGGAAAAAGGAGCTGGCTGCAATCAGTGGCCTCAGGTAATTCGCTAAGTTGCAATTTGATTTGCAGCTTATTTTCTGGGGGGGCCCACGATCACCTCTGTTTGTCCTGACCCTGAGGCCGGGCATGCAGTGAAGAGCGGTGAAATTTTTCAGTGCTCCGCCGAGTCCTGTGCACAATCACGGCGCAAACGCAAAGCGACTTCGGCAATGGGCCCCTCATTGTCGTAGGCCAGGACTTGCAAGAGCTCACAGAGTCATGTACAGTTGACTGCTTAACATGTTTAGAGTCTTTGCGGATTTGATTTTTTTCACCGTGGCAATGGCAGAGTGTCGCAGTCTCCTCCTTCCCGAGGGTCTTTCTGTTGAGACTTTTGGCGTCACAAGCCATGAGGTGTCCTTCCTTGATTTCGAAAGAAGGACAAGCTTGGCTACTGCCATCCCGACTGACCATGTTGTTTCACGCTGCCAGGGTGCACTAAGGCGGTGAAGAAATCCGCAAATTTACAGATATGAATTCAGCAGTTGAAGCAGGGCCAAATTTCATAGCCGCGAATCGCCTCGCACAACCTCGGGCTCAGCTTCGGACAGCTGACGGTGAAGCTTCCCGCTGCCAATGTTTGACGCAGCCCTCTCACCTGGGAGCGCCTTTCGGGCCTACAACAGAACGCAGCGCCAAAGTGTGACTCTTGAATCTTAGTGAATTGGCTAAAAGAACCAGCTGTAAACCTCTCTGCGAGGTGCGCCTTTGCAGTCCGTCGTCAGTTTTGCCATGGCTAGTTTTTGCAGGTTTGCAATCGCCCACTTCGGTCATGGTTGTGTTTTTGTTCCGCGTATTGTTTGATTTCTTTGGCAGCTTACTTGCACAGCAAGTTCCTGTTGCGCATCGCGAGCTCGCTTTTCCTGACAGGTATCGTACTTTTGCCACTGTTTTAGTTTCAGCACTACACGGGCTGACTCAATCCTAGCAACTCTCCTAGCAACAGGTCTCGCCACAGATGTTTGGGCCTTTGGACCGCCAGGGTTGCCAGGTGTCATGCGATCTGCGTATTTTGTGGCCATCTCACCTGCAGGTAAAGCCAGCTTACCATGATTTAGGTCCTTTGCTTGTGGATCCCTTGTGGGCTTTGCAGATACAAGTCTCAGCAAGGTTGCGTATTGTGTCATCAGTGTCTTTTCGCCACTGGCTGCATTTGCGCAAGGTCACCATTCGTGACAGGATAAATCATTTGTTCTTCGTTGCTTCCCGTATAAGAACGAGTCACTGTTTTTTTGGTAGGCACAGCGTAATTCGTACTTAGAGCTTTCTCTTTTGTGGAAGCAAGGACGCGTTGCTTGACAGATGGGCTACATCCTTAGCTCTTCATTTAATGTTGCAAAAGCAATGGCCTACATGAACATCATCATCATCATCATCATCATCATCATCATCATCATCATCATCATCATCATCATCATCATCATCGTCATCGTCATCGTCATCGTCATCATCGTCATCATCGTCATCGTCATCATCGTCATCGTCATCGTCATCGTCATCATCATCATTATCATCATCATCATCATCATCATCATCATCATCATCATCGTGATCTTCATCACCGTCCTCCGTCACAGCCTCCTCCTCCTCATCATCAATCATCAGCAACGTCATCCTTATCCTCCTTCTATTCTTCATGACCCTCATCCCCATCCTCATCCCCATCCGCCTCCTCCTCCTCCTGCTCATCATCATCATTATCATCATCATCATCATCATTCTCATCATCATCATCATTCTCATCATCATCATCATCATAATAATCATCATCATCATCATCATCATCATCATTATCATCATCATCATCATCAGCATCATTCTCTCTTCTTGTTCCTCATCCTCCCCCTCCCCCTCAGCATCAGCATCAGCATCAGCATCATCATCATCATTATTATCTTCATCATTTGACATTCAGCATCATCGAGATATTCATGCCGTGCCCTTCCAGCTCCGTCATCCTGATGCAGACACGCTGTGCACTATCAGTGGATTAGCCCTGGGCTCACGGGGCTCTATTGTTACACTGACTGTTACACACTCGTGAGACCAGTTCCAAGGAGTTGTTTTCTATATAGTTGAGATCCCTAGAATGTTGTCACTATCGAGACAATGTGCGTCAATCCAACTTGAGCCTCGAGTGGAGCCTGGGCAGAGCTAGGTTGAATTAGGTCCACTTCAAAGGAGTACCGTGCTGGTGTTGCTGGTGATTGGATAGTTCGGAGATATTTCCATGTGAGCAGGTTGTGGGGGCGGGGCATGCATTGCTGGGATGTTCTGAAGGACTCTCAGGAAGAACCCGGATCATTGCAGATTTGCCACAACCAAAATCTAGAACCTTGGGGAGAGGACGGCGCAGGAAGGGGCGAGATTGAGATCGCGGAACTAGCGCACGCGAGGTACTCGCAGAGCCTGGAGCGCCAGCGAGACCAATAAGGCGAAGCAGAGCCAATGCTCCAGTCTCCAGGTCCTACGCTTGAGGAAATATGGACGCTGTGGCAGTTGCTGCCGATATCGCCTCTAGGCTCGGACCGCCAGCGAGGCACAGTTTGGATGCCGGCAGCTTGAGAGACGGCGTGTGTAGCCATGGCCTCTTGCGACCGCCCGGGCCTTGGGCCGACTCACAAAGACTGAGACTGGCAACCAGGCCCAGAGGCGCATCTAACACTCCCGCGCGGTTCGGCTTGGTTGGAGGAGTGCTGATCATTTAATTTGTTGAGATGCCTTTTCGCGGGAGCCTTTTCTTCGGAGGGCAGTCGCAAGCAAATCAAGCTCAGCTGCCTTGGCCAGGGAGCTCGTTCCAATCCCTCAGGCCTATGCGCAGAACCGCCGCTCTCAGTTCGTGGTTGTGAGTTGCTACAGGCGGGAAGACTTGCAAGAGACTGGCAGCCGGAATTTATTCTTTGGCAAAAGGAGGCTTGTCCACGGGGAACTTTTCGGTGGGAACTGCAGTGCGGGACTTTTTGCACAATCTGCGCGTTGCAAGCAGGCATATAAGCAGGCTCGTTTTTGCCAGAACAATCCTACCATAGTTGGTTGCTGGTTTCATACTGGAGCCTGCAGCCCCCAGGCTTCGACAAGCTCGCCCACGGCCCGCGGGGCAAGGAGGCTAAGAAGAGGCAGGGAGGGTGAACCAGATGGGCTGCAGAGACGCCGAAATGGATCAATTCGCAAGCTCTCAAATAGCTTCCGTGTGCAGCGTCCCCGTGGAAGCTGGGACAGCTGACAGGATTTTGCATTCCTTGCTGACCCTTGCTTGGTACTTTGTTGGGCTCCTGTCAGAGAGTATGCAGAACCAGCGAAGCTTGGTGATGCAACTTGGTGATGCAAACACAATATTAACATGTTTGTGCCGGTCTTGCCAGCATGTTTTGCATGTCAATGTGTTTCGACAGCCACATTTGCAGCGTTCCTCAGCCTTTTGGGAGGGGCAAGGTAGAGGGTCAAGGTGGGCAGACCCTGTCACGATCCGCAGCTTTCAAGCTCGAGCTATGATGCAACCACATGGCAATTCAGATTGTTGCTCCTTGCAAGCCCCCACTCAGGTTTTGAAGAACCCCCCCATTTGAAGAACCCCCCCCAGCTTTGCCAAACCCCCGAGTCGACCTCGGGGCCGTCGATTTGATGCCCTAATCTCGAGTCGATCGGATCAAAATGGGCGGCTCAGAAGATGGCCCCGGCAACC